TAATTTATATTACACTCCTGATAGAACCATCATAATATTTCGCACAGTTTTAGATGGTTGCTTCAATTGGTTGATGTTATCCTGGCTGGCATGCACTTTGTTTAATTACATGGAGCAAACACCAAAGCTGTAAAGTTACCAAAAGCAGCCAATCAAATTTCAGCTTTCTTCAGTACAGAAGAATTAAAATCATGAAAGTTGGTATTCCAAAGGCTGCAATGGCTAAGTGTGCTCATAAATGGACAGGTATCCCCCTGAGGACACAGGCAGGGTGATATGCTCATGTTTGAGTGAGGGACGTGAGTTCAGGGACCTGCAGTAATCCTTGCCTAACTATATCTAACCTTTACTTACTCCCTGTTGTGCTTCAGCCATTCTGTCTGGGCTCCATAATCTGTGTAAATTACAGGGGATATCTGAATACTCAACCACATGCATAAATCACGACACTAAGGTTGGCTACCAAAGGTGAAAAGCAGTGCATCCATAGTTACAGAGCTTAATTTAATGACTGTATGTTACAGAAGTGTATTTTCCTTACACTCTAATAACCATTTTTCTATTGGCTAATTACTATTTGTTAAATTATATATTTTACTATTGTAATGGGATAACCTAAGATTTAGAAAACAGTCAATCCAAGATCAAAAGATTACAAAATACAACAAATATAATTATCTTACAATTCTCTTAAATGTTTTCTTAAAGAGATCAGTCAGCATTTTAGACTATAGCAGTTCTAAGTAAAATCTATGTTTCCCATTTGCTAAATAAATGCCATCATGGCAGGGTGCTTTTATTGCTAATAATATATACAATATGTCTATGTTGCTGATAATGTGTATATTACATATGTAGAGTATGAGTTTATTTAAATACAGAATAAACAAAGTTGTTATAAAGGTTCTTAAAGTGCAATTAAGATAACACCATGCCTCCCTTACAGAACAAAGGGCTCGTTCACACTAGGCTGTTGCCAACGCTTGCCAAACGCCCCTATAGCTTTTGGCAAGCGTTGGTCCGGCGTTTGCGGAAGTTATTAACACCATGCGCGGTTTAGCGGCATTGCTATGGCTGTTTGAGGTTAATAATGCCCCACAAACGCCTATTGGACAGAAGGTTTATTACCGCTCCGCAAAACAGCATAAACAACCGCGTCGCAACCGCACCGCAAACGCCATGAGCGGCACCATAGACGAGAATAGGAGGCTTCAAAATATGCGACGCGACGCAAACGCTTTAGCAGCACCATGTGCTGTAATGTGCAAATTGGCAGAGGCGTTTGGGAAGCGGTAAAAATACCAAACGCCTCTCTGCCGCCTGCACACAAGGCTAGTGTGAACATAGCCTAATGGAGTTCTTGAGGAATTAATGACAATTGGACAGAAGGTTTATTCACACTCATTTTTAAAGCAAACTGATGTCTGGCTGTTAAATATGCAGCACTTAGCAAAAATAAATGGAGTACTTAATCCAAAGCACTGGTCTTCATATTTTATTAAAGATCTTCCTCTTTTCTTTTTTTGCACTATACATTTTACTGTGTTGTCGCCCCTCTATTATATCTCTGTTTTTCTATGAACTGCTGGACAAAAGCCATGGTTATGTAATCTCATTTTTTATATTATGTAATCTCATACCATGGGGACTACATGTGAAAAAAAGGATTCTGAACAATTAATGTGCAATTAACCCCTTCAGGGTATATCACTGTAGCATAATAAAATGTGAGCCCATATTTCAGGAAAGGGACTATATTTACAGTCTTGTGGTACAGCAACAAGCAGTAAAACATAACCCACGGTTGTGGCTTTACCACAGGTTTACTTTAAATCAGGGAATTGGTTTTATTGAATTACAATTATTCAATAAGATATACTGCAACATGTTGTCTGTTACTGGGTACTTAGCTAAAGACACTTTGTCAAACTTTCCCAAGACTCCCCCAAATACTCCTAATTTGCCCATTCTGCATTCTATGACTCTTTATAATCATGTAAGATACTGATGCCCTTTTAACACACACTTATCACTTGGAAACAGGTTAGGAAAAAAAAACATTCTCAACCTTGCCACTACACATTTTTGCCATTGTTCCTTCCAATATATCTGAACAAGCCACAGACAGAATAATCACTGTTTGCATTTTCAGGTATTGAATAATTACTAACTAATGTTTCACGTTGAAGAGTGTGGTGTCTGATCAGCTACTTGAATGGAGACTACAATGTAAGGATGGACTAATCACGTAACCCACCTTCATTTTATTGCAACATGTCAAAAACAAGCCAATTGATCGGAAACTTCTCATGGGCATGAAGCCATAGCCAAGCCATACAGTATGTGCACTGGATGCTGGGGGGTATTCATTGTATTGTACATCTAAGTAATCCTTACATATCTGGACCCTTACAATTATTCAGCTACTACTACACATAGGCAGTGGTGTATTTAGGTTTCATGCTGCCCTAGGCAACACAAAAATTGGCTCCCCCCCACGGACATTGACCAACAACACCCCAGCCCCCCCCCCCCCCCCACCTGAAAGAGCCTTCCACTACCACCGGGAAACCCACCACCCCATCCCGGCAAGAGATAAGACACTCACCTTCACAGTTCCGGACATCTCCGGGAACAAGAGTCGGGCTCTGCATACACCATCAAGCAGCCTGCAGCCTCTCTCAGATCCCACCTGGTCCTCAGTGCTGTGTGTGTCCCTTCTTCCATTCCTTCTGCCCCCTGAAAACTGCTGCTGCCCCCATGAAAAATGGTGCCCTAGGCAAATGCCTTGTTTGCCTTGTGGTGCCTTTTTAGTAATATATTCTATCAAGTTTTCCGAATAAAACCTTAACTGGAAATAATCAGATGAAACACCATATGTTTCTTTGTTTCTGTTACAATAAGAACGAATGTAGCCATGTAACCGAGATTATCTCTCAAACATGACTGCAGTGTGACTATCACTTTAAAATAGTAAAGCAGAACAAATAGAGTACAACTTATGAATTCCAAGACCCTCTTGTTTTGTCAAAATAATTTAGAGCTCTATCTCTGTAATCTCTTACCATTCCATTCCAGCTCTGTTGATTTCTTCCCACCAACATTCTGTAGGTTCCCCAAACTCAAAAGGTGTTGGCATACATCCATAGTTCCATTGTCTATCAGATCCTTCTTTTTTGCTAAATGTGCTCCTTATTGCAACTACGACCTGTCCGTGTGGGCACTGGAAATTGAATCCTTGCCTGAAAAGATTAACCCAATGATCATCTGAGTCGTCGTGGTGTGAGTAATAATAATAATCATGTTGTGCCCACGTTGCCACCACCAGCTGCAGCAGAACACCAAACAGTATCAGCATCATGTTGTCTTTGCTGCTGGCGCAGACTGTGGGACTTACTTTATGATCTTGCTCTTTTTTATCCAATGGAACATTTGGTTTCCAGATGTTCAGTATCATGAGCCAAGTGCAGTGTGTCACAGCTTAGCAAACGAAAAAAAAAATGGATGTTAAATCTTAACAGAAGGTAGGATTTTACAGTTGTGAAAGGCATTAAAATGCGTTCTTGTTAAAACAAAAAGATTTATTGTAACCTAAAAGGTAAAACAAGGGACTTTACCAATAATTCTTTTATACCCCTATATTATGTATTGTACTATAAGGGAAAAGTAGTAGCATGCCATAGCTCACTGAAATTTCTTCTACAGTTTTCAGGCCAGAATACCCTTTAGATTTTCATATTAACGAAGCTGAAAAATATTGTGTGCTGATACAAAATCTGGACATCTAAGTAAAAGCTTGGATACAAACCACAGCAAAGGGATATCTAAGGACACTCATAAAACACCTAGGAACTGTACACAGACTACAAACACTGAATGGCGCTGAGAGTGCCATAATACATATCTGGCACAATGCCTAGGACAGTAGGCTAAGAGCGGAAGACAGTTTTTGCATTCACTTTCTTCTATTTTACTTTTGGTAGATGAAAATCAAATATAATGCTGTCTCCAATACTGTATGTTGATTTCCATAGTACATACTGTATATTTCCAGACTCACGATTTTCCTCTACACACAGTGAACAGCTTCCTCCCCAATATCCATGCCAACAATGAATTAACTTATTCCTTTTATTACTGGCAAGGTTTCATTCCTCTGTATTGCATGCAGTGCTTCATGTGATATTAAAAGCAGAACCTCATATCTCTGTTGCACAATGCTTCTTACCCCTGTACCACACACTGTACCTCAAATATCTGTAGTGCCCCATACTTCTGCATTATATACAGTGCTTAATGCCTGTCTGTTCCACACAGAGCTTCACACCCCTCAGTTACACACAGTCCCTGGATTGCATAACGACTGGTACAGAGAGATTTTGCAAAAGTGTCTCTCATGTGTTCTAAAAGTGTTTCAGCATGCAGCACCATGTGGCTCTCTAGAAGCTGTACTTGAATGTGGCGCATTCTGGGCCACTTTTAGAATGCATGCCAGACACTTTCACCAAATCTGTCTTTGTACGCCAAAAGAAAGTTGGTCTTAATTACCTCCACTTTTGTATAATACGAGCTGTCGGTATTTTATTTTGATTTTGGCATATGTGTTGCGCTACAATGTAGAAGTGGAGCAAATCAGAACTGCCTAAATTTGGCGCACAAGTTGCTGTCAAAACCAAAACTGTTGCGGGTGTTTTTTGAATTTGATGCAACACATTAACAAGAGCAATTATTGCCAGAATAGTGGCGCAGCTGCTTTATTGAATTCCCATGTGTGTCTCATACTTTATGTGTTTTACACATAGTGCCTTATGTATCTGTATGACACACAGTGTGATTCCACCATATCAAACAAAGTGCTTAATACATCTCTGACACATAGCGCCTCATAACTCTTTATCACACACAGTGGCACATGCCATCTCTAGTGTGTGTGTATTTCACACAGTGCTTCATACTTTTGCTTCATGTTGTATATATAGTGTCTCATTACCCTGTATTGCATGCATTTCCTTGCTTCTCTATTGTTTTAGTGCTTCATACATCTCTATTGCACACAATGTCTCATACCTCTGTCATGCAGTGTCTCCTTTCTCTGTATTACACATATATGTATAGGGGGAATTAACAAAGGGAAATGCCTTGGTTCTATGCACGGGCGGACTGACCATTTGGAAACTCGGGCACTGCCCGAGGGCCCGGGGTCAGTAAGGGGCCTCATGAGATGCCCCTGGTATCTTTCATAGGCTTTTTTGGGTGTGGTTTGAGTGTGGGCGAAGATACAGGGGTCCCATAATCCCCTGGTGCACGGGGGCCCCATGAGTTGTCAGTCCACCCCTGGTTCTATGTAATATTGCATTAGCCATGCCCAATCATGTTAAAAGTGCTAAGCGACAGTTTCTATAAATGTCAGATCAGGTACCCCAAATGCAGCACTTGCACCAATTTTGTAATATAAAAAGGAGTTCTAAAATATACACCATTACCACAGTGGTATTAATACTGTATTCAGGAGGGATGGACTGTGTCGATCAGCACTGCAGTGAGGAGGGAAGGAAGTGTATGGATAGCCACTAAGGCTCAGCAATGCAGAAAGTAGGAGAAGAAGAAATTTTAGTAAGTGTGCTTGAATTTAGTACAACATCACCCACATGTGGGAAATTATTGAATTATCGTATTCATTTGTAGCAGGAAGCACTGATTAAAGAATATATAAACCCAACATTTCTTTTTCCTGATTTGTGCCTGCTGTACCATGTACTTGCATGAAAAACGTTTCCTGTTCTCTTTGTATCGCTTCCTTTATGTGAAATCCCTGGTGTTCCTGCCAGTCCCTCTAATTTCCTATTAAAAACTGACCACACTGTGCATGAGAGCACAGCGTAGTCAGGGTTCTGGCTGTGTTGAGAACTGAATTACTCTCTCCAATGATCAGACTTCTGCTGACACCCCCCCACCCCCACAGCCATTCCTTGGGAAGATCATTGTCATCCTGTTTCTCCTCCCCAGCTCAAGCAGCTGAAAAAAGAGGGACTGTGATCAATTATAAAAAAGGGGAAAAGGGTATTTAGAAATTTGTTTTATATGTATACAAAAATGTTTGCCTTTTGATTTCTATTTTAACCTGAATGGCTTGCATTACAAGGTGAGGGTTCACATATACAGTACTTTAAACAGGCATACAGAAATCTATACATTTTTGCTGCATGCCAGTCCTTGTTAATTCACCCCCACAGTGTCTTAAAACTCTATTAATCACAGTGCCCAAAAATTCTCTATTATATACAGTGCCTCTCTCTTCACTGTCACATGCTGTTCAGGCAGAGGTCCCTAATGACTTCTCTGTGGACAAAATCTGCTTAGGTCTAGAAATATTATTACAACATATCCAGTTATTGTTTCATACAACTTTATACAAATTTTATGAACAAGTTTGCCCTTATGTGAGTCCTAAGCACCTTCAGATTTTTGTACAAGTTTATACTCATAAATTGAACTGCTTTAACCACTTGCCTACCGGCACTTATACCCCCTTCCTTACCAGGCCAATTTTTTTTCAGTGCTGCCGCACTTTGATTGACAATTACGCGGTCATGCAACATTGTACCCATATGAAATTTTGATCATTTTTTTCTCACAAATAGAGCTTTCTTTTGGTGGTATTTAATCGCCACTGGGCGCTTTACTTTTTGCGCTATAAATTAAAAAATGTGCAAAAAATTTAAAAAAAAAAAAAAAGTTTATTTGTTTCTTTTATAAAATTTTTCAAACAGGTATTTTTTCTCCTTCACTGATTTGCGTTGATGAGGCGGCACTGATGGGCACTGATAGGCGGCACTGATGGGCACTGATAGGCAGCACTAAAGGGCACTGATAGGCAGTACTAATGAGGTGGCACGGATAGGCGGCACTGATAGACAGCACTAAGTAGGGGTCACGGATAGGCGGCACTGATATGCAGCACTGATAGGCGGCACTGATAGGTGACACTGTCTCCAAAGATAAGGGTACTGATAGACGGCACTGACTGGCATCACTTCTGGGCACTGACTGGCGGCACTGACTGCACAACCCCTGGGCACTGACTGGTGGCACTGACTGGCAGCACTGCTGGGCTGCACTGGTGGGTGGCACTGGTGGACAGCACTGGTGGGTGGGCACAGGTGGGCTGTGGCACTGGTGGGCACAGGTGGGTGGCACTGGTGGGCACAGGTGGGTGGGCACAGGTGGGTGGGCACAGGTGGGTGGCACTGCTGGGCACATGTAGGTGGCACTTCTGGGCACAGGTAGGTGGCATGCAGAGTGGCACAGGTGGGTGCACTGCTGGGCACAGGTGGGGGCACTGCTGGGAATGGGTGGGCGGGGCTAGTGGGCGCACTGCTGATCGGAACTTGCGGGGGTCACTGCTGGGCACCGATCATCAGGGCACTGATCATCAGTGCCCTGATGATCTGGTGCCGATCCCCGCTCTGACAACTGCCGGTTCTCGGCAGTACTTTCCTCACGATCTGACAGCGTGAGGAAAGTGCAGATACCCGAGAACCGGCACTTGCAATTTCCCTGTGATCAGCGTGTCATTGGACACCGCTGATCACGTGGTAAAAGGCCGGTGGGATCGGCCTTTCACCACATCACGTGATCAGCTGTGTCCGTAGGACACAGTGATCACGGAGATCGCCGGGTGCGCGCCCCCTGGGGCGCGCAGGAGAGCGCGTTCTGGAGGACGTCATATGACGTCCACTCAGAACTGGCCGGCCGCGGTGAAGCCGTCTTTCGGCTATGCGCGGTCGGCAAGTGGTTAAGCAAAGTTCTTTTGGACATTATCACAATTGCTAATCTCAGATCTTGTGTTTTACAAAGCCATTGTAAATACAATTTACTAAAAAAAAAAATCAGAATATAGATACACTCAAAGTTTAAAGCAAGCCAAAACTTTTTATTTTGTTTTGGATAGAGAAGAAATGGTTAAAATGCATGTCAATGTTTTTTGCTGTTGGTGGCCTCACTAGGTAGGTCACACCACATTTACTCTCCTATTTTTATAGGGCAGGAAGTAAAGGGAAATCTAAAAGCGACACATTTGCAAAACAAATTATTTTTTATTGGTAGGGTGGGGTAGACTAAAACCATTGTTAACTTATTATTTCTGCCTGTCTCAATCTAATTTTGACTAGAGGTATACCTAAAGCTGCTTACATAAAATCTGCACAATTAACTTGAACAGTACAAAATTATTACATCAGTGGTTCATATAGTGAACTCGGTGTAGTTATTCACCCTGAGGTCATCACAGAGGACAAGGGGGCACTCTTTACGTCTGGAGGAAAAGAAATTTAATCTCCAAACACGGAAAGGTTTCTTCAC